CCTCTCTCCATGGGAGCCAACATGGCTAACTGAGGAGTCGACAACCATGGGTGGGGCCTGTGGGGTCTTCACAGAGCTCAGGATCTCCTAGGGTATCACTCATGTGGCCTACAGGATAATGGAGAAATCTGTGTGTGGTTAAAGATTCTCAGCCTGGTTTTACCCATCCTTCCCAGCTTTATATTCATCCTACTATTCCCTAACGTGGATTATCTGCTCCATTAAGCGTTCCTTCCCCAGCACGTGCTCTCTGAACGTGCTTGCACCTTTCCCACCTATATGTCTTCATTGATCAGTCAGGTTCTTCCACAGAACATATATTACCACTCTCTTCCAGCCCCAAGTCCACCCTCTGTGCAGGATGGCTCAGGAAACTCAGGGTTCTTTCCCCCTTCTTTTCTCTTAAGACCTATGACCTGTAACATTTGTTTGTTTGCCTTGGGACTGTGCTTGTCTTTTCTCTTTTCTTGCAATTTTATTTCCCATGTATTTTCATTGTTCACAGGAATCTTCTTTATATCCAGACCAAAGCAAAAGCAGAATGCTTTGCCCATCATAAGTGCTCAATAAATATCAGATTGATGGGTTGACAACTTAGTCTTGGATGATCCCAGTCTCCTCATTACCGAATTAGGTTCTTGGGTCACAATGTCACCGAAAGAACAAAGCACCCAGCAGAATTTAAGGCAGCAATGCTTTATTTAAAAAGAAATAGACTTATGCATAAGGGAGACAACAATAGAAAAGCTGTCTCCCCCAGAGAAGTTGGGGAAGCGTTTCTAAAGGCAAGCAGTCCCTCAACTGATGTCAGCATCTTCTCTTGATGATTTCTGATATCTTCACATGGTGGGGGGGTCAGCTCCAGGAGCATCCGGCATGCTACTCACAAAGGGATCTCAAGACTAATCTGTAATTTAGTTTTTACAATCACAGAGAAAGAAAGAATGCGTAGATAAGGATAAGTTTTAAATAAAAAACAAGCCTTCAGGAAGGGGTTTTCCAACTCAGTGAATATCTTTTCCCTTCTTATCTCAGTTTATTTTGTCAGGGCGGTTAAGCCCAACTGGTCTCTTTCAATTATTTTTATCAGGGCCATGGGGTAATCATGTGCCCTGAGGTCTCATGACTGAGGAGTAGGAAAGTAACAAAATGTCCTCTACAGGGAAAATGGAGTCAGTTTGGTTCCCAGGGCTAGCCCTGTCCTGTCTCATCCTCATCCCAGCTGCAGACTGTGCAAACAGTCAGATCAGAGCAGCCAAACAATGTCCTGGTTTGTGGCACGAATACCAGCAACAAAATAACCAAAGTCACACATCCTCCCACGGGTTCCTTGCTTCTATTTCTCAAAGATATTTTTAAGTTGTCTTATGACTGTTCCCTTTCTACTCATTCTCATAAACTGAGCTGCTAACCACTGACTTTTGTGACCTACCACAGGCTTCTTCAGAAGTCAGTAAGTAAAACAAACACAGAAATGAGCTGTCTTATGACTGTTCCCTTTCTACTCATTCTCATAAACTGAGCTGCTAACCACTAACTTTTGTGACCTACCACAGGCTTCTTCAGAAGTCAGTAAGTAAAACAAACACAGAAATGAGAGTATGGGGGATGGGAGGTGCTCCAGTAACTCCAGAATGAATGACTGAACATCCTAACTTTCAATCAAAAATTAGAGAGCAATGAAATCATTTTACTTTTGAACAGTGTTTTTTTCTGTTCTGCCAGTTGTTGCATTTTCATTAAGAAACATAAAGGGGCCGGAACATAAGGAATAACTACAAAAAGACCCTTGAGGGGCTGGCAGGAAAGAGAAGCTGTTCTATGAGACTTGGAAGTGACTCTAGGCAGTAGTCAAGATCATGGGCTCTGAAGTCGGACAGACTTGAATTTCAAATCCTCTCTCTGCTACCTTCTAGCTTGGAGAACCAGAACATGCTATTTAGCCACTCTAGAGCTCAGTCTCTCGTGTATAGAATAGGGTAAGTAATGGTGGAAACCTCACAGGGTTATTGTGTGGATTGAACGAAGCTTGTAAAATGCTTAGCACTCAGAAAGTACAGAAACAGGAAAAATATATGGCACCTCTAGCAAGATGCATGGCTTCCTTGTGAGTGCATGAGACTGTAGTAAGGATAAGACAAATATTTTTCCCATTGCATCATCATATCATTTTTAAACATTATGCAATCATTATAGAACAATTTAGAAGAATATATATTAGATATAGACTAAGCTACCATAATGAAGAGTCCTAAATATACAGTGACTCAAACAAGACAGAAGTATATTTCTCTCACGTAATATTCAGAGATAGAAGGTAGTTCAGAGCAGCTAAGTTGCTGTATTCCATCAACTCAGTCAGCGATCCAGGTTCCTTGCATCTTGTTACTCTGCCATTCTGCAGGATGTCGTCCCTGTTGAGTTGTCAAAGCTGGGTCATTGCCAAATCCATGTTTCAGCCCTCAGAAAGGAAAAAGAGTGGTGGAAGACACATTTGATGTTTTAAGGCTGAGACCCAGAAGACATGCTCTTCTCCTGAACTTAGTTTACCTGGCTGGCCACACCTAAGTGCAGGGGAGGCTTGAAAATGTAGTCTCTGAGAAGCCATGTTGGTCCAGTTAACACTCTAATAAAGGGAGAATAGATTAAAGGGATAACCAGCAGCCTACCACAAGGTAACAAATGACTGGGAGGATTGGGCTAGACAGTCAATTCAGCCCAACAAATCCTTATTGACACCTTTTATGCAGTTGGTGTTTGGCTCTATAGAAAATTCAGTGGTAAATTAGACAAAGCCATTTGCCTTCCAGATACTTACATTCTAGGCAGACTGATGAATCTCCTGTTGAATATTCAACTTTGGAAAGTCTTCAGGGATGAGTATAGCTCCTGTATGTGCAAGGGACTATGAGGGAAACTGCATAGGACAAGGGTTTGCATAAAGGCATTGAGGGAGCGACCCCTCCTGTTATGGGGACAGTGAGTGGCCCAGTTCTCTGTGACTCACAGAGCTACATGCAGCAAGTGCCTAATAAGCTTGTAGAAGTGAGGAAGAAGATTGTAATCAATACAGGTTATTCAATGTGTAGATGAGCCAGGCTCCTTATCCTCTTCTTCCTTAACATTCACCACACCCTTTTGGATAGAGACAAATATCTGTGGGGCCTGAGCTTTGGGTCAGACAGATATGAGTTTGCAACCCTGGCTCTGCCACTTACTTAGCAGCAACGATGACCTTAGACAGATTATTTAGCATCTCTGAGCCTTACTTCCTCAACTCTAAAATGAGGCACTCAGACTAAATGATGTCGAATCCCTTCTCAGCTAAAACAATCTATGGTTTTCAGGTGGTACTGGTGATGGGGGGCACTGGGGGACGGCAGTGGCAGGACTGAGCCCATCCTCCTGAGCAGTTTTGCATGGTTTTTCCTAGACTACTCTGTTATGTTCATGCTCAATAAGTTACTCCATGAGGCAAAACATAAGCTTTTGAAAAGGGCACAACTTAATCTGAGTACCTGTTTATCTCCCTGTTCTGAACACCCCCCCAGCTCTGGCCTTTTCATTCTGGAGCCCTTGTTCTAACCTATAGATACCCAGAGCTCTCCTTTACAAGGCTCTCTCCAGCTTCCAGAATTACTCTCCCACCCCTACACTCATCCACCTCTCTACTAAACTCATCCTAACCTCAGTGCCAGAACCTTGATTAGCTGAGACAAGGCAAAGGGCCAGTTGCAGTAATTCACACTAAGGCATGAATGACTGGATTTAGTGTTAATACATTAACACTACTTAGGATATTTTATTTTTTCAAAATAATCCTGTTAGGGCCGGCCCGGTGGCGCACTGGATAGTGCGC